AGGGAGGCCATCCAAAGTCATAAGGGGACCTGCCCGATAAGGTGCCACATTGTGACCGCCGGGCCTCCCTACTAGCCTCACTATGAAATAAAAAAGCACTTTAGATTTCGTTACCTTTATTCTTAGGAGGTCCTTTATTCGGAATCTGCCTACAAATAGCGAGCTTCTGAGCAAGGACATTCCACTATCGGCTGGACAGCCATGATTTCGTAACCATTCAGTGGACCAACTGCTGACTGTAGGGTCACAATAAATGCATTCCTTCATACCAAAGCGGTGCGAGAGGCGTTCTGATGATCGTGCTGGCATTCTTCAAAAGCACGCGCTCGGGGTGTCACGCATTATCCATCCGGCAATGAATCAGTGATGCCGTATGGTCACGAACTGTGTGGCACTTGGTCTGAATATCAGCACGAAAGAGGAACCTCTGAGCTGTGCAGCATACCTGTCCGCACTCAGCTTGAAATGATGGCTGATCCAAGCTTTGAAGAGCATTTCGAGGTAAGTTCGAGAAACTAAGCTGAATTTGTCAAGTCCAATTGATTCACTATCCACGCTAAATGTATCAGACAGCACCTAGCGAACATTCAGATCCAAACGTCCGGATGGTTTGGCCTACTAGGGCACCAGCGTGTCTTATGAGGACGTCACCATCAGTCCACAGCGGCATGCTCTGTATCGGCATCGACGAAGAAATAAAAACTTAAAAATCGTGCTCGTAAGTCACTCGCGCTAACACCCGACGTGACCGTCTTTGTTATGCACATCAGAACAACAAAAACAACGACAAATATATGTCCATTACAAACACACATATTGAGGACGTTAGCGCAGATGCGCAAAAGCGAATTCGCTTTTTACGAGGCACATCTCCGCGTGTGCAACTTACAGGTCGTCTGGCCGCCACCACGGGCGTGGCTCACATATAATTTTGAGCGCCACTATCCCAGTGGGGGCGCCGCGCACCCATGTATCCATGTATGCATCCCAAAATCTATCCCAGAATCGGCCTCAGGTCCGTAAGTAGTTTTCGAAGCCATGAGCCACCGCACAGCTCTTGCCGTCATTCGCGCCGGCTGCGTGTAGCAGTATGTCGAGTTTATTGTGTGACGGGGTGAAGCAAAATCCCATTGCAGTTTTTCTGAACAATTTCAAAAACGTTTTGCCTAGCGACCCCGACATAGCGGAAAGTGCAAGGTAAAGTGGGCGGCATTGCCAAAGTGAAAACCACACACGAGGAAGATGAATCGTCAATTTTTCAAATTTAATCTTTGTGCGCTCAAGGAGGACTACCCAAACGAGGTGGGTGTGGAATTGCGGTAACGTTCTTTTTTTTTGTCTCAACAGTAATATCGTGGCGGAACTCTAACCTCCAGCCTCTGGGACAGAGCTCGCTTGAATCTGACCGTACCGTCATCGTCCGGAAGTGTAGAGGGAGTTGACTCCAAAGTTGACTTGTGGCTGGTGTGAAGGAGTGTTGGACTTAGGTGAAATGGTTAAATGGTCGTGATCGAGTTACGTTTGGATTACGCACGTTTATACCTGTGTCATGTTGTGTGATGGGGACGACAGACGTAAAGTAATTGAGGTAGTGTGACTGTGTGCGTCGGAGCTTGACATGCAGGTTAGTTGTGTGCTGCATCTTGTGTCGAGCGAGTCGCGCCAAGGTTACGTCTAAGATTGTCAGTCGGCGTTCAGAATTGTGCTGTTGTCACCAGTTTCTATTTTAAAGTTTATGAACTCTGCGTGAGCCAGTGACAGTGATATGTCCATGGGAGCCACCATTGTCAGTGTCCGAACAGTGTTAGTCACAGTGTTGACAGGAAAACCAAGCGACAAACTGAAGCAGCGGGTCAACTTCGAAAGTTTATGGCCCCATGTGGTAAGGCATAACACCGCGCAACAAGTAAACCAGTGGTGCGGTCCAGCTCTTTCACAGTGTCCAGCGTCGCCGTGCAGTGCTGCTGTCCAGTGTCGTTGCCCAGTGCCGCTGCCCAGTGCCGCTGTCCAGTGTCGCTGCCCAGTGTCGCTGCCCAGTGCCGCTGTCCAGTGTCGCTGCCCCGTGTCGCTGTCTAGTGCCGTTGTCCAGTGTCGTTTTCCAGTGCCGCTACCCAGTGTCGCCCCAGTGTCGCTGTCCAATGCCGCTACGCATCGCCGCTACCTCACCTAGTGTCGCTATCCAGTGTCGCCCAGTGCCGTTACTAAATGTCGCTGTCCAGTGCAGCTGTCCAGTGTCGCGGCCCAGTGGCGTTATTCAGTGCCGCTGTCCAGTGCCGCTGTCTGGTCAGAGCAGCGGGTCGACGCCTCTCGTCTGGCCGTGGTGGCAGCAGGGTCGTCGCTGTCCGCCCCGGGGAGTACTATCGCACACATTACGCGTGATCAGCCGCATGAAAGCGGCTCAGTGCTGGCTATAGGGAAACGAGCTTTCCTGATGCCCTTTTAATAAGCTTTTCGTGCACCGTCATTATCAGCACCATCTAGTGTGAGTACGCAAACATGTTGTCGGCACTAATCCGGAATTTAGAGGTGGAAAACTTCGGCAGCCGGACACCCCAAATTAGATACATATATTGAGTATCGGGTGATAAAATCCCGTCCGGTTACATCGCTACAGAATAATCCCTGCTGAAACAAATCTCGATAGCCAAGTTTTGCTTACATGCTTTAGCTATATATGCATGGTATTAATTCCTGCTTTGAAGGAATATTTGTTGCAATGAACGTCAAACGTTTTCTGCGACGCCATTAACAGAAGTGTTGCGTCATATATACATATAGTTTTCGTTGAGCGGTTCCTGAGCTGGTTCGAAGACTTGAGAGTTATTTTCATCACCTCATCTTTTGACCCACTAGTAGCATTCAGTGGGCTTCCTCCCTTGCTGTATGCTGAAGTAGACTGAACATCCAGGAAACAGGCGGGTGACTATGCGCTGTACGAGTAACGTTTTGGTGACTGTGTCGCTCGTATCGCTTTGCACATAACATTAAGTGTGACACGTTTCCTTCAGTTTAAGACATTCATTATTTTAAGGCCACATAGTGAAGAAGGTACAAAGAAAGACAAAAGCAGACAGCACAGTCTGTGCAATATCCAGCCGGCATTCCAGCCGCATTGCATGCCTATTCTCCTTTCTCTGTATTTTGCGAGGTGGCAGCACCATATCGCCGTGAGATGGCGAATGCACCGTCGACTCCATCGCGGCCCTGATGATGAGCGCCTGAAGCGTCGGAGGATGTCGCTTGCCCAACTGTCAGGCGAAGCGTACGTGCTCTGCTGCTGAAGATGGAGCACGCAGCGCGTGTACCACGGGGAGAATCTGCTGCGGAAAGGAGAGGAAATTCCTGCCCAGGTTTAGTCCGCCGCTCTGAAGAGTAGACCCTCACGGGTAAGATTACATTTACCCAATCCACCCGCCAATCATGGAGCTGCACACGTACTCGCATACTACTTTTTCTTAATCATGTGTACCAACCCGTTTGCATCTTTCCAACACTCGAGCTCTAAGCTGTTGAAGAGTTGCAGGAAAACATGCATCCAAATTTACTGTATCGAGTCGCTAATTCCAATAGTAGAGTGACTGATTTGATCATGACTAAACAAAGCGCAAGCAGCGATATTTTGCAGTAGTTCTTGAACCACGTACCTGACATCCTGTAGTCACCCTAGCCATGCCCGTATCCACACTGATAATTTTCACAAGCTGTACCCAGCCCAGCCCGTTCCTCATTGCATAGGGTTGAGGAATGCTGGGCTTACCCAATCCACGAGGTCTTCTGATGAAGATCGCTGTCGTGCTGAGCGACGTCATCATGATCAGCTACCACAGGCACTGCAGCACCTGTGACGGTGTCAGTGGTGGTTGCCTGAGCAGATACCCGAGGGCGGGAAGTCTGCGAAGTGGACTGGGAGTGTGGGAGGTGAACTGGGAGTCTCGGATTTGGACTGGAAGTCTGGGAGGTGGACTGGAAGTCTGGGATGTGGGCCCGGAGTCTGGAAGTCTGGGAGGCGAACTGGGGGGTCTGAGTGTTAGACTTGGAGTCTGGAAGTGCGGAACGTGCAGTTTTTGTAGAGGCCGAGGCAGCTCATACGTAAACTCAGCTGCAGGCGTGGTTGGCTCGTCAAAACGGCGCAGCACATGCTCTTTATATCTATTAGTTACCGTGGAAAGACGTTCGGGAAGGAACAGGCATCCCAAGATATCAAGCAAAAACAAACGCACAGCTCATCCTCCCAAACCGTGAGTCGGTTGACGGCAATGTCAGTGTTATGAAGCGTCTAATTGTCTGAGTCAAAATGTACTCATGATATAAAGCTTGCCGCTTCAGACCTGCCCCAGCAGGGCAGGACGTTGCAGATGTAGTGATGAATTCGAGTTGCGAGACATCGTTGCGTTGAAGCTAAAGACGCAGTTGGAGCACGTGAGCGATGCAAACCTCGGTGGGGCTGGGAGCTATGTCGTACCTGCTAGAATTTTGGCAGAGCTGCAGGCCTTGAATAACAAAGGAGAAACGACAACGCAAAAAAAAAATGATCCCAGGGGCCACATCGAGAAGGGATTCGGTAGATTTCGCAAAACTTAGCAATCCATTGAAAATCAGGCGAAATGGTAAAGCAGCTGCTCATCAATAGTCCTCGTGGGAAGGCTTCCATCTGTTCCTGACCCAAAACGTTTCCGGGGACCAGTTCGCTTCTCGAAATAACGTAGTACCGACAGGTGATGAAGTCGTGATGAAGTCGTTAAAAAGGCATATTTTATCAAGCACAAACCAATGCTAATGATTCTTCGTTTTTGGGGGGAGCTTGATGAACAACTGATGCATATCTTAATGTTCCTGTAAGCCGAAAAAACAGACTAACTGCGGCTATTGCAAACCATGACGGCTGACAACCCGACATACGCACTTCTTGTCGCCTCTAGTGAAATGTTTCCGCTCTGGTTGGCTGAGATCCGCGCAGTCACGCGTCCAACACATACTTCAGACCACATTTACAATTGGCGTTCATGTATGCTGGTTGGACGGTACTCACAGCAGTGATTGTAGCGGATGAGTGCGAGTTAAACACGTGTCCAGGCACGTCAGCAGGGAGCCCGTCTCTTTTCACCACAAATATGTAGCTCTGTTGCAATGCAACACGTGTTTAACTCGGTTCACTATGCCGCGTAACAGCACGCCAGATTTCAGCACGCTATCAACGCCGCCAAACACAATCCTATAAATGAAAAACGGTGGAGTCAATAACAACGCATGGATGATGACACTCCCCAATACATACGAACATCGCAAGCCATTCGCTGAAACCTTCAGGGCAAGTGCTGGCAAACCCAGCTCTAGGCGGTGCCTTTTCGCTTTTGCCGTTTCAGCTGGTTGGAGAGCTTCATGTGCTTCTTGCGCACCCGAGCCTTATGTTTCTGCAGGCACTGGCTCTTTTTCCTGTTCTTCTTCTCCTGCAGCTTGGCCTTGGCCTGGAGGATCTTCTGCCGCGAGCGCTGCGAAACAGCCTTCTCTGGTGGCTGAGCCGCGACACTTGCCTTGAGCTCCATCCCGGGCACCTGGTCCTCCTGCTCCTTCTGCTCCTCGTCCTGCTCCTCCTCCTCCTCGGGCTCAGCGGTCAGCTGTGGACAGTGTGGCGTCAGAGGTGCACCGCGCTGTCCAGCTCGAGCCGAGCTGCAGCCATGGAACGACGCACGAGGGCGCGGGAACAGCTCACCCCGGGGGACGGACGGCGCCGGGTGCGGCTCCGCGGCACCCATGCGTGTCCGTTTTGTTACCAAAACGCACTCTGGGCGAGATACGAGATGCTGTTTTGTCTGGACAGCATTCCTAGACGCATGGCAGGCATGACCAAGGAGACCCACTCGGACCAGTGCGATAAGTAGGTCACGCCCCCGGACCCGCCCCGGTGCCAAGGGGGTTCGGTCGGTAGGTAGAGCGTACAGAGATAGACATCATCACAGTGTTGCGCTTTCGTCGCGGGCGCTGGCTACAGCCAGCGCCCGTGAGCACAGCCAGCTCAGCAGATCCAGTGCCGGTCGCTGCCCGTGAGCAAAGCCAGCTCAGCTCTACTCAGTGCCGGTCTCTGCCCGTGAGCACAGCCAGCTCAGCAGACCCAGTGCCGGTCGCTGCCCGTGAGCAAAGCCAGCTCAGCAAGACCCAGCGTCGCGGCGAGGCGGGTAGTACCTGACCACCAGGGAAGAGGCCACCAGCGTTCAGGTCGATGTGGCGGATGGTGGACACACTGACGGTGTGCCGGTCCAGCTCGTGCGTCACCGCCTCCGGCTCCTCCGAGATGAGCATGTTGTCCGGCAGCACGGTCGGACCGTGTGACACGCGGTTGTCGCGCTTCTGTGGGTCCGAATGGCGCGTGGTCAGCCGGACACGCGGGGAGTGCTGGGACACGACGAGGGCATGGAGGGGCGAGGTGGGGCGGCGGGGCGGGGCGGCGGGCCGTCCGGTTGTCACGGCGTCCCACCTGAAGGTGTCGACCGGACTGGGAATGAGCAGCACCCGTTCCATGACGGCGCAGAGGCTATACGGAGCCGATCTTAGTTGTTTGCTATGCATGTGATACAAGGATAGCTGTCCACTTTAAACGAGCAGAATGCAAAATACTTTATGAAAGCGAGAAAGGTTTTCAGCTCTTGGTTTTCCGCATGATGGGGTCAGAGTTTTTTGAGAGCTATCGACCTTCAAAATGGCAGGGGACCGTATGGAAATTTACTTGTCAACATATAGTCAACGTAGTCAGTATAAGAATATGCCGGTCATAACCGCCGTATGATCCAGCAGTTTGCACGACCTTGGGAAGTGTGGACTAGAGGTTGTAGTTCGTAGAGGTCGCAGAGTAAGTCAACACTAGTGCGAACAGTACTAGAAACCCCAATGCGTCCAGCTGGGACCGTGTATTGGGTATTAGGTGGTGAAAATCCGAATTCCCAGCACGTCGTGAGATTCGAGCGATGTTTGTGGTGCCCGCTGAACATGGTAAACAGCTTTTAAACAGCTTATAATGCAACACTCGGCATGGGTCGCGTAACCTCCCGGTTCAGCCGCCTATGTTTCGTGCAGCCTCCAGCGTAGAGCCGTGCACCAGGTGTGAGGATGTGAGAGCTCGGAAGTTGCATTATTTTTTAGTGTCTACACAGATTCAGAACGTTATCTGCATTCATTTGCCGTGTTTTTCGGGCGTATTTTTTGCTTAAGCTTGCTCATCTTCTTTATAAGCATGTAATCCTAAGCAAGGCCTGAAGCATCGAGTACTGTCAATGTAACCAATGCTTGCTTCATAATGTTGCTAAACCAGTGCCTCCTGGCATACAGAAGAATGGGAGCCTGTTTGTTAGAGTGTAAAAGCTCTGGCTCATAAGAACGCAAAAGCACTTGTCCGAATTCAATCCTTCGATAGTGGTGAATCAGCGGAAGGAAATAATTTAGCACGCGCGACGGGCAGGTCGTACACTGTTCTTTTCGGCCATGGGCAACACACTGCCGGATTCTGGGTCATCGACTTTTGAGCTTATTTCCTGACGAACATCCTAAAAGATTGGATAGCCATAGAAAGTTTTACATTTGGATTTTACTTAGAACGAGCACGACGTTATCAACTTGTAAGGCAGCCTTCCAGCCAAAGTGAAGGCCAAACATGTGAAACAACGACGCTTCCACACCACCGCTACCCCCTACACGAAGACCCAGTACCACCGATTTGTGTCTTACAGTGTCCACATCACAAGCAAAAGCCTCGTAAAAATATTACAACATGAGGAAAATCTCTGCAACAAGATAAGTAGTGCGGAGAGTACGTCAAAACGTTCTGCGTGTCACTGGAGCTTTATGACACATTCAGCCGCTGCGGCTAAATGGCGTCCCCTGCCTCTCGCCCTAGTAGGAAGGGTGGGCAACGCGGGAAACCGAACCCCGTACCTTTGGTTCCCCAAATGCGTAGCGGTTAACGCAGACGCGTCAACCGCTACACTATCGGCACACCCTTTTGACAGCCTAGACTCCGTCATATCGTCGTGGTTTTCGGCCGTTGTAACCTTATATCCTGATGACACCATGGAGATACAAAAAAAGCCAAAAACCTACAGATGAAGATTCCTTGACATATTCTGTGTTTGCTGGTACCTGCTCACACATGTGAGGTTCACTACTGCAATGGTTCACACAGCCTCATTACAGTTACCAATGCGGCTGTGCCGCATTGGTAACTGTAATTGGTAACGCGGCCGCCCGTTCTTACCCAGTGAAGCGATGGTGGGCTTACGCCGCTGCAAAATAGAACGGCCAGGTCTGGGCACGACTTCGACCGAAGTTGTGCAGCTTTTCGGTGATTTTTTTGCGCGCTTGCAATGCGCAATTGCTCTCCCAAAATGCATGCCTCCGTGTCAGTCTACTGGGAAGGATGCGCTTTGTTCGCATCGTGCTATTTCGGTGCGATTGCGTTGAATTGGAGATTCTGGCTGCAAATGCCTTCCAATTTTTACAGCAGCCTGCAATGAACTGCACACGTTGTCTCTGATACCTGCACGAAGATGCGACCAGAGGTTGCAAATTTGAAGACATTGAAGCAAGCGTCAGATGTCATGAAATAAGCTCACTTCAAACTATTGGTATACTTTTAAACGGTAAAGGCTGCCCTAGACAGCACAATATCTCCGTTTAGTGAATGTGTTCTTTAATATGTCATTGCTTGATTACGCTACCATATTTTGCACAACACTGATTGATAGCGAATTGAAGGCCGCTATATATGGAATTCGTGCTCACGAACAGCACATATGACCAACTCGACAACTATATTTTTTTGGCCTTGATCGCCGCATGGCTAATGGGATGGCAAAATATAAAAGAATATCATAGCGTTATAGGCGCCTGGGTGATCTTGAAATGGTCTCCCCGAAATAGCATGCACATCTTCGCGGGCGTGTAGCTAAAAAAAAACTGGAGGGGACTAGGTCTTAAGAAGGCCAGGACTGAAACTGCCCCAATGATATTCAATATGGCTATTTCAGTTTAAAACCCCAGACAATTGTGGAACACTGCCTTTAAACTCGGACGGGCGGACTACCTCAAACGAAAACTACATCATCATTAAGCGCAATTCGGCTAGTCTGCGGCCTCTAGTCGTCGTGGAAAATGCCGTCATTATGTGACAGCAAGAAAGAACCCGGGTTAGGCACTACCGACCTCCTGTCTGATGCGATTTTTTTCCTGCTTGAAGCGGGTGTCAAACTTCTTCATTGCAGTTTCACGTCGCTCCTGTTTGCGTTTCTTGAAGCCGGTGAGATAATTTCTACGGACAGAACACACGTAAATGTCTCACACAAGTCTGATCCATTATTCAGCCCAGAGGAGACGACTGGAAGGGCATGCGCGTTTAAAGGCACTGGCACAAACTTACTATGTTTATGGCACTTTTGTTTCTAGGGGATTTGCGCCTAATGACACCAAAAAGGGTGTGCAATGAAGACATCACTAGAAAGCATAAATTCACAAAAACTGACCTTCTGTCATTTTCATTGAAAACCAGCTCCAGCTTTGGTCCTTTCGTCTTGACTTTTGCAGTACCTTGTTTTCTGCCCATGTTGTCACAGTACTGAAATGGTCAAATTGTTTGATAAATGCATCTTGATGAACCTAAAACATGAGAAATAATTGCTGAGGATGGCAAAGACTATAGCATATTTGTCCAACCTGGTCTAAGGTTTGGTTTACACATCAAGCCATGTATATATATATATATATATATATATATATATATATATATATATATATATATGCATGCAATGAGCATGCCAACAGCAGCACAGCACCAGCATGGCATCACTTGTCACTGTCAACTTCGTTTTCATTGTACAAGATGCCTTGTCTGTTGTCAGCCTGGCCTGAGAACCTAATACTGGCTGTAAATAGCCATCAAAGGGGGTATTTCTTTGAACTGAACGTTATTGCCATCTGAACGTTATTGCATATATCTTTGAACTGAACATTATTGCCATCCTGTCATCATCACTTAAATTATTGGGAAAACAAAAAACCCAGAAAACATAACTGAGCATGATACAGGCTTTCAATGTATGAATAAAACACAAAAAAATGGCATGCACCCACACTATGATCTCACATCTTGCGAACTGAAGAAGGATCATTAGAACTGAGAAAGGATCATTCCACCCAGCCATCGCCGTCGTTTCCTCGGGACCCAAAGGGTTCCCGGGGCCCTCGGTACCCAAAGACCTAACGCGCGTCATGCGTTCTTGTCCCACCGGTAGTGGCGTCCTTGGTTCCTTGCAAAAAGAAAACAGTGGACAACTCTTGCTGCCCTCTTGAGGTTGACGCCAATCAAAATCAAACGGTTTTGAGGTCTCCGTGGTGCCTCCCTAGAAGTGGGGGTGCCTGCTCAAGATAAAGGCAGCCATGCCCAAAATGAAGGCTTTGGGTAGGTCTACCTTCGCCGATTGGTCAGACTTAGGATTTGTCAGGGTGGAAGACACAGAATTTGTGTTGCCCTTGGTTCTGGTGACATTTGAAAGTGAAGATGTCAGTGTTCTTTACATGACTCATTTGCATTTGGTGCCTGTTAAAAAACGTGCAGTGCCACTATGACAGGTAGGTGCTGTGGCTAAATGGCAGTTGGATCTTCTCCAGCAAACAATCCATCTTTGAACCAAAACAGGATACAGAATTAGTATATTAAATTTTTGGAACCTCTGAGATGTCTATGCAGAATCTTTACCAAAATATAACCATCCATCTGCTACCTGTCTTGTGCCCATTTGCAAAAGGTGAGCTTATGAGGTGGATAACAGCTCAAAATATTGAGTACTGTCAACATGTTGCTTGTCAAGAGCTGCAATGCCAGTTAACCAGCAAATCCTGAAATGTTCAGGATCATCACCTCAATGTAAGAGCTTTGAGCTCATTAGAAGTTAATGGATTTTCTTTCTTGTGGAGGCAGAGAAAAGTGGACAAAAAACTCCTTAGATGTGTTTATCAGATAAATGATGGACAATGGTCATTGGTTTGACCTTCCAATGATAAATGCAGAGTTCCAGCTCTGTATATCAGTACATCAAATTCTTGGCAAGAGGGATAAAACTGGAACAAGATTTGCAAGTTCATTTTAGGCAAACTACATTCAAAGATGGTCAAATTATGGATATGACACAAAAATGTAGCATCTACAACAAGAAGCAATTTGCTGCCAACAAAATGTGAATGCCCACCCATTGGACGTGGTCACCTTTGTGGGTGGTCAGCCCAATACATGAGAGATCGAGAACTGTCCCTGGATGAGAGCCAAATGTTGGCACCATTTGACCATCTGTAATATCCTTAAGGTTACTAGAGCAGACATATTCCACAAGCAATCAAAAGCATACATATCTTAACTGACTCTTATCAAATTTGGCCCATATGTATGGATAATTTTGTAAGATATGTACATTCCAAACTTCTTTCAGAAGCATTTTCAACAGCTGTTAAGTTCTGGTCACAAGTCTATGGATCTTGAATTGATCTGGGTGGGTGGCAGGTCTCTTTCGGATTCAGGTTTTCCAGTCCATCAAGTCTTGCAGAAGCATCTCTTAGATGCTGTTTAAAGTTTTGGTTGGAGATATATGAATCTTGAATTAATGTGGGTGGGTGGTAGGTAGCAGTGATAACTTCTTGTAGTTATACAGGTTGTAAGAACCACTAATAAATATCTGGTGCAGGTGTTGTCATCAATAGTATATGGATTGCATACTAAGTTCAGTATGTTCACACCACTTAAGAAAAGGTGAGATGTATGACATGAATGCCCCCTTTTCTGCCTGCTGCTTGTAACAGTAAGGTAATACAAACCCCATTATCTCCTTACTGATTTGATGTGTGAACAGCAAAAAAACATATTTGACACCAAAAATGGCTGTTGTCTCAGCAACATAGAAGCAAAAAATTCAGACCACATACAACGTAAATAAGGGAACTACACATTTCAATGCATAGGCACAACCATTTCCAATGCATGGAGACGTCATTTTAGGAAATTGAACTGTTGTTCAGGAAATTTATTCAGAAGTACTCAAAGACCTGTCTTGCACGCCTTAGAGGAAATTCAGCGCACCCTAATCTGACCCAGAGGCTCAAGGCTATCCGGTCTAGGATCAGCGCACCCAAGCGCAATGTCACGCAGGCGTTTGATGAAGTGAGCAGATTTTTCGCAGACAATCCGGTGTGTAACCGATTACTGTAGCGCTGTGCAAATGCGTTACCAACACACACGTTGGGGGTTACCGACCCGTACTGTGGTAATTGTCAAACGTATCCCATCCCCTCAGTAGTTAAGCGCGACACGCGCGACATGCGTACTTGGTCCACGGTACTGTCACAGGTGCGCTATGATACATAGCTTGCGTAGCTACATCAGCTGATCAACGTATATGACATAATTGTGGTATCAGGATGCCGGAATAATATTGATGTTCACGGGGCTCAGGGACAAGGCCAGGGACGGTGACATCGAAGGGAACGTGTGGAACGCGTCTCTTGAAAACTCTTAGAACATCTGTCCTGACAAATTTCAAAGTCAAACATTGTGGAAGGCATGTGTACGCATTCTAGTGAAGCGAATTATTACAGCAAACGACCCCTCACAGCAGGCTTAACGTACTTGATGTGTCACCAGGAGCTTCTTTTACACTTTCGGGGGGGAGGGGAGGGCATGCCTCTAATTGTGGTTTCAATCCCTCTTCATCCCAGCACTCCTCTGCCCCCCCCCCCCCCCGCACCCCCACCCCGAAATAGATATGGGCAAACAATTAATACGGGTCAATTAAATGCCGTAAAATTCCCTGAAATGCAGGCGCACTTATGACCTTAAGATATCACCACTACTTTCTCGTTCATTTCGCACCACATAACGTACTGCAGTTGCCCAGAAGCAGACCCAGAGGGTGTGTGGGGGGGGGGGGACACGGCGGCACTCGAATGGCCTCATGCCCCTCCCCCTCTCCCTCTGGAAGAGTAATAGATCTGCTATCCTTCAGAGCTTCATTTTTTTCCAGTCAGCTATGTAACCAAAAACGCGCTGTCGTTGATTCAAACAGCACTCAACAGCCCACGACTCTATTAAAAAACACTTGTCGCAAATCATGCAAGTGAATGCATCTTATGATCAATGCAATCTGCGGCCAATTGGCGGTTTGCAGCAACCAGACGTCCAGACAGCGTGCCAAAAGTGTCATGGTTTGCATCTTTTCACTACCAGCTAGCTAGCATTCCAAATTCATGAACAGGCCTGCCTCCATGTCATTGCAGCCCTGCGTAGGCGAGAAGGGCAAACGTATTACTTGAAAAAAGGCATGGCGACACGGCTCACAAAATGTTGCCAGGACGTCCATATGTCGTTTACGTAGCCATCTCATAACCCGAGACAAAATGAACTTAGACCTGGAAGTGACGCCGGGTAAGCGTATTTTCTGGACAGTGATACAATTACGTGATATCTTCGGGGTATGTTGTCGTGAGAAGCTCGGAAGCCAGGACGTGAAAATTTTCCAGTCCTAGGGAATTTCGTCCCACACCATAGAATGAGCATGCAAAAAAGTACATAATAGCAGCAGCCAAAGCGTGACAGGAATTTACCCCAGCACGACTGGATATGCCACGTTACGCTTGAGCATGCTTTGACCATGTCACATGTGTCTGATATAGCATGTTGGGAATACGGGAGAATCTCTTTTTGTTTTCCTTTAGTGTTTCGGTACGACTGCACTTCAAGATATTTTTGAAACCAATGATGGCCTGAGATCAGGCCTACCTGATATGTCTTGTTTAACGCTACCGGCTGCAGCACAGCATCGCGTGGGATTCGTAATATATATATATATATATATATATATATATATATATATATATGTATGTATGTATGTATGTATGTATATGTGCGAAAGGACTTAATAGGCCTCACAGCCGGGTACCGCCGATAGCCCCAAAAGAATGGCATTTTTTCAATTTGACCTGGCGTGATCGAGTCCATCTAAGCTCACGAAAACAGCTCTTGTTCCTTTTATGATGAATGGGGTTATTGTGGTCATCGAGGCCATAACGATGACAATGAGAGATTGAGTTACTCGTACGATTCCCATGAAAGTGTGCTATGCTAAAGGTAATACGTCATCGTGACACATTAACACAATGAAGGCCGTTATTTGCTTAGTACTATATGTGATATAGCTGAAAACTTCACAGCCTAAATCGTAGCGCGAGGTCACCGAAGTCATGCATGTGCATAAATTAACCGCTGCCCTACGAGGTGTGGGGGGGGGGGCGGGACCCACCTCAGTCACAGTTAAGCACGGTGTTGAAATGTAGAGTACTGTGACTCACATCAGTTTTACACATGCTGATAAAGTTTCAAGTTTCTGTTCAGTACGGGTCTATGCGTTCTTTCTAAAGGTCATGATGTGACAATTTACTCAGATGTGACAAACAGCGTTTATCTCTCGCAGTAAATCAACTCCAAAGAGGTTTTCTAGACTGTTCTTCTCATCCGCACCATTCCGCAGTGCAAAAATAATTTTGGTGACCTTGGAGGCGTCAGGTCTTCCAAGGTCAATCTAGGTCAAACTTTGAACTTGATGACAATGTTCTTCAGTTTGCAGATCATACGATTCAAAGCTGGTACAAACCGCTACGGGCCTGTTACTGGCACATATCTTACAATTTGGAAGACGTTTCTAACTCTGTTCTCAACATTAGCATTGTTCATTTAGTGTTTTGCATAACAGGACGAGTCAATGCAATAATCCCCTTCACCCTGTTGACCTCATTTGACATATCACAGGTTACACGTGTCGAAGTAAATGTCGATGCCAATGACCTAGTTTGACGCTTTAAGGTTCAGAATCATGATTTCACAGAAGCATATCCAGCTGAAGCAGTTCGATTTGATTCATTTGTCTTGTGAGTTTCATGACATGAGACATGAGAAGACCTCTAAGGCCCAGCTGCTTTGTAGGGTGAAAGCAAAAAAGTTTGGGTAACGGTTATGATCGAGGGTGATTCCGTCATGTATGTTATTTTACCTGACGTTTTATTGGTAGATGCGTTCCATAAACGAAATATGCCACCTGTTTGTACCTTTTATTTACCGTTAAATTATATGCGTCTGATTTGATCGTTGATACTACCTGCAACAGCTGACAACAACCCTCAGCAGATTCTGCCGTCGTTATGATGATGCGGTTTGTGGCAACTGCAGCTGCCAAGGAAGAAGTGTAACGCTGTTACAAAGCGTCGACAGTGTGATTTGGACTCCAAATAATTGAAATACACGTCCTCATCATGACCTGATGGTGCTTTAGCGGTGTCACCCAGTGCTACTATATGATGTAAATGGTTCTGAGTTCTCACCAGATTGCTTTTTTCTAATATGCCCCAAGGGTGGGAAACTGACAAAAGCTGCTTTTTATGAGGAAGCCCTGTTGCTTTTGGATGTTAGTGCCTTTACGTTCAACCAAAAGCCCCACCAGCAGAATAAGGCTTGTGTTCATATCTGTTTGCTGAGGTGTTTGGAGTAAAGCAGCGTAACTCCATGTGAAAGGCCTCGGCCTGACGTAACTTAGCGAATATCTTCGGCCAGGACTCTGACTACCCGCCATGAATGTGCCAGTTCTGAACTACATCCTAGCTAATCTTAGCAAACCACCCAGCACCGTACTGTACATCAACACGCTCATTCAAATTAACACAACTCCACTCACAATGATTGCGTGCCTTATTGATTGCGTGTTTATTGACCGTGTGCTTTATTTTTTGTACTTTGACTGAATCATCGTAATCTGATAGAAAGCCACACTCCCGAGGAGTAAAACTGGATGTATGATGCATTTACCAACAAAAGTTAGTAAAAGACCTTTCAGTGATGGTAGGATACTGAACCATTGCCATCCAGAAATAGCCTAAGAACTGTCATGCAAGCGAAGTGTGAAATGCCCAGTCGTGCATGACCGGCCGGTCAGATTGCCAGGCCAAATTCGCCACCCGCGCAAAAGCTATCGCTCACAAATTGCATAAGCATAGGCCATCTGATATATCTCACATTTATTATAGTTGCTTTCAAAACAACGGACTATGTAAACAGTTTATTCCAAAAGCGCTGGTGAACATCATCAGCTTACAGGATGTACAGAACAAAACGAGAACACATTCGACTCGCAAGTCGTGGGACAGTGACAACGGACAGGGACGGTGGACATTATCCGTGCTGTTACGATCGGATGTTTATGCAACCACACACTTGGTAGAGTACGTAGTTGTTTAGGACGTGGACGTAAACTAAGACTAGACGTAAACATACTGATCATGACAAATACAAACACAGTTGGTTCAACCAACCCGTTTGGACATGAAGTCACCGGAAGTAGTGAGAAATTAGTGCGCCCTGTGAATGGTTGATTACACTCGACGGATGTGCTCGCGGGTGTGGCTGAAATCGGGCAGGTGGTCGCCCTCCGGGTGGAAGCCGTTCTCGTCGGCCATCCACGTGACGGTGTAGGTGACGCCCTCCCACTCGTATGAATAGGAGCCAGTCCTCACGTAGTTGCCCGTCCCCGGCTCGCTGCCCGGGTACGAGATGCCGTCCTCGTTAGAAGAGATCCCGTTGGTGGTCTCGAATCTGGAATGTCGACATGTATTTATATATAGCAGCATTTTAGATGTGACTTAATACGTGACTTAATACTTAATACGTCGCTCCCAATACGTGACTTAAAACACGTGTGCAATAGCCATGTGCCATATCACAGCGTAGTACGCGGAAAGCGACGTTCGCTGAACCTAAAGTGTAGTGACTTACGAAATGCTGAGTCCCAAACCATTCCTTTCACGTACACAATTTTCACGACGCAGAAAACCTCCAAATGGCTTCACTTCGATAAAAATTCCACTGTCAAAACTTTTAGACAATGCTGCCAAGGACCAACACAACTGTTGCCGACACTGCTGCCACCGACGAAATGTCCGCGTGACGTTGTTGTCACGCATCAAAGCTGCTGCCGACAAAACGACCACGCGGCACGCGTCTTACTGACAAAACTCCCTACTCACAGACAAAGCCCTTGTGTGGCGTAGCACTATTCCCGATGAAGCTTTCATCTTAGTCTCATCTAGAATCATCGCACAGAACCAAAATAACCTCATCTCACCCCATCTGGTTCAACTTTTTCCTAAGTTACCAGGCAAACTTTTGTGCCCATTTTCATCACGTTTCTGTGCTCAAAACGCGCATACATTTTGACGGTTAAGTAACAGCACTGTCGCGTAGTGATGCTGTGTCGCACAAGATGAATGGAGTGTCCTATATTCACATGGGCTTTTGAACTGAAATAGCCACCTCGAAGACCTTTACGCACTGCTCACAATCCTGCCCTTGATAAGATTTGAGCCTCTAGTTTCTGAGCTACACGCCTAAATGGGGAGAGTATTTCGGGGAGAGTATTTGAAAGTCACCTCGGTCTTCATGAAGCCATAAAAACGCTATTCATTTCCTGCTATTCCATAGCCGTGTGGTGATAAAGGCCGAGACAAATATAATTGTTGAAGTGCTCATATCTGGCGTTCTGGCGTGGGCATCACGCGACGTGAGCACATGAGCACCCGGCGTGAGCACCATTTCCAAATGTAACGGCTGTCAACTGTATCTTAACCAAGGTTGGGCAACGTACTATGACGTAATAAAACCATAACGCATTGGGCAGCGTATTTACTAAACAGAGAGTTGTACTGTCTGAAGCAGCCTTTTCTTCTTAAAAAAGCATACCAATAGTTATAAGTGAGCTTGTTTCATCATATTTGATGCTTGCTTCTAGCCCTGTGCCAGAATCCTGATGAAATTAATCGCATAAGCCTTCGCTGCAGAAATTCTGCCTGGCTGTGCAATGTCGGGTTGGAGTTTTGGCGTTCGCGGATTTGTTGAAAAGGAGTGATGTCGCCCGGATGCCTTGTCCGTAAAACTTTTATTATGCGCAACCGTTAACGTAACTTTGAAGCATTGCTGTGTAGAAGCAATGTCTGATGAATCGCACTGTCCTGTAGGCAGTGTCTGTAAACGTGTTGGTTCTGTATGGCAAACCTTGCTGCACAGAATAAACAATATCTGATAACATATTTGGTACACTTTTACCATCACCATGACATATTTTGTCGACCGTGATTTGCGTTACATGCGTATCGAACATCAAGTGACATGGCGGTACAGAAGCCACGCTTTTGTGGCCAGAAACTCAAGGGCTAAACACGGGTCGTAACTCGAAGTCGTCGCATATTTTCTTTCACTGAATTAATCGTGTAGTGAGACGTAGAACAAAAACTGAATTAGCTCATGTACTTGACCTGGTGTTTCGGGTTGGTCACGTGCTGTGAATGTGAAAGGAGGACAATGAACCCATAGTAAAGGATGAGGTAGGCGGTTGACTTGCTGTGCAAGAACTGAGCTCCGAAAAGCGGTTTGAAATTAATTCGTTTTGCTGGCATATCCAGCAGCGATTTCTGATGACAGATTGCCAAACTATTGGAGAAAAGATGCGCGCGCACAACACCGATGGCTAAACGCTAAGTCTGCTTGATTAGCGGAAGCAGTGGCGCACGTCCTTACTTGGCTTCGTAAGATCCGTCTTCCTCAATGCCGTATTGGTAGTTACGAATCCTGGCATCGCGGTTCGCCGTCGCTACCGCAACAACGAAGAGAATGATAACCTGGGGAAAAGAACACATGCACACTTTTGTGCGTATTGTGTCGTTCAGGTTCGCGTTTATTTTCACACGTTCACTTGCAACGTTTTCAACTCTCCTAAGTGCGAAAGCATTTTTGTAAAGGAAATGGAACAATCATCGCAACCGGGCGCTCTAAAGATTTCAAACGCCATGCATTGAAAATGCTCCCCGGAGAAAGGACCAATTTAGCATGCTCTGTCATCGCGCGACCGGCACGTTGTTACCCCGCTGACGAACTGGGCTTCCATGCAATATTATCCACAACGACCCTGAAGCATCACAGACACTTCAAAGCGGGACAATGGGACTTGTAAGCGCGGGCCAGGGACGTTAAGTGTCCATGAACAAGCTGAAGACTGCATGAGACCCGGGCTGTGAAAAATGCAGGGATTGGCTGACGCCTGCGGCCACACGCTACTGTTTCGAAGGATCAGGCGAGGTCAGTCTCGCCTACTACGGTGACCCGCTGCGAGTCCAGACTAGCCCACACGCCGTCGGAGGAGACCCATGACACCTGACCCCTTAACACCCATGACATGACAGGATCCACGACGACGACCGTGGCAGCGCCGCGCGCCGGCGCCGGACCACATGCTTGGTGCAGACGGCGGTCACACGTCCAGCCACTCGTCGTCCAGCACCACCACCGTCGTCGCCACAACCTACCGCCTTCATGGTGTTGATCGGGAGGGCGCACTGGTGCCCTGCTCCCGGCGCCAGGCCCTTATAACGGTCGCGGTGCACCTGCGGTGCGTCGTCGCCCTGTTGAGTCGGTGGGGGCGGGCGCAGGGCTGGATGAGATGGTGCAGGTGGCCGTGGTGGTTCTCCGCGTGATTGTGGCGGTTTAAAGCCGGCCACTTTTAATGGGGCATTCGGCTGAGAAGGCGGTATCAGGAGAGTGAGTTGGTTGTTCCGCGAAAACTGTCACTGGCAGGAGCTATCTGACGAAGTTTTTTTCCTTGTGGAGGCAAGTGGCCATTCCAGAACTGATTTATTAAGATGTAGACCTTCATCTCTCTTCCATGGGCAATAAACACGCCTGATAAGCACGCCATCGTTCACCTTCAGTACAGGGATAATCTCGAGTGCTTAGTTCTCCTTGAAGGGACAATTTCACGTGGAAACAAACCATGCGGGTGCATTGATCTATTCAACTGGAGGGCCACAACGCCCCCCCCCCCCCCCTCGCATATTCGACTCCAGCCGACAGCCCCTCCCCCCCAATTTCGAGGAGAATGTAGGCCAAACCCGGAGAGAGGCCAGTTTGCTGACGCATATTAGTATCAGGTGGAGTCATTTTATATCGTTCAAACCCAACTGATCTTACGAAAGTGTGCCCCAGGATGATTGTAATGGGTTCAATACACATAGCATTATTATCTCTCAAGCGTTTGTGCTCTAGAAGTGCCAATGCGATCCAAGATAAGATCAGTACATTTGGCACGAGTTTCTTAGCTGAAATATATGCAGCTAAGGGTTATTCGACAGTGTTACCATTATAGTAGGCAGTGGCAGAATGACACGAATGACTCCAAATGCACCTTAAACTGGGATCATAATGAGGTAAAGTCTGTCTCAAATGCGTGATTAAAAAAAATACATTTTAACGTACAGCTGCAGTCCAACATTATTTTACTAATGCAGGCGTCTCTTCATGGTTTCACAACCCTACGGCTTGTTTTGAACGGATCGAACACGGACCGGATCGGTTTCGAAAGAAGCATATGAACTTGAACTGAATGTCGATCTTGTTTGGCCGGGTATGAGTTGGATGGGGGTAAGCACAAGTTATCTGTTTTGCACCCCATATTTCCCCGAAATTCACTCACTCTCATCTTGAGGCTCAGGGGGGGGGGGGGGGCACCTACCATAGAATAAGTAACTACACCGCTGCGTGTATGTGTAGTTTATCAGCACCATACCTAAGAGTTTGTTAACTGTTTGCGGCGCATCGGGCAATCTTTATGCCACCAATGTCTCGGACCGCGACCTTACTGCACTAGTCGTCGCTGAAATCTTAAGATAGTTTAAGTGGTTGCATTTAGTGACAACGACTGAGTGGGGGGAAGGGGAAGTTGACTTCCCCCAGCGGTTTTCGAACACAGGTCAAAAACCAAGGCTTACAGTTACACGACATCGTCAGTGTTTCTTCATGTATGAATTTTTCGTATTTTGTGCGAATATGAACTTTTGGTCTGCCGAGATCAGCGGCCCAGGTCACGTCGAAGTGACCAAACTACAGCAATTTTGACCGCATATAACTATTTTTGTGGACCATATGTCACTGTGAAAGTTTATTTTAGTAATAGAACATAACAGTACCTACAGTTTGCATTTTTCGATTTTTTCGGAAAATGAGAGGTCAGTGACGTGAAGTCACGTCAGTTTTGCTATTTTTATAAACAACGCAAATTTGTACCATTTTAGTGCAGTTCTGGTGTTTGTAAATGCAAAAGAACATTAATCAAACGCACAACCATCATGTGCCCACAGAGCACATAACCTTGGCCCAGGACATGACCTATTTCAATGGGTACTTTCTGAAAAATACATGTTGAGCCCATAACAGGCAGTTTCGGGCAGCAATTTTGGACGCAAAATTATAATACTTCAGTGAAAACATGAGATATTATTCTAACGCATAATGAGGTCGCCATAGCTCATGTGAGATCGTGCAACGTCATATGAGATCATCTTAAGTCAATGACCCACGCTACCAAAAATGGAAAGGCTAGGTGAACGAGCGCGACGCGTTGAACTACCCCCTTATAGTGTTTGTAAAGCTGATGACGCCTAAATTCATGCGCCAACGTACCTGTTCTCAGTTTGCTACAAATACATTGCCAAGCGTTGAAGGGACTGTGTATAATGTAGACGATCGTGAGTACCCATAGATGCATGATACACATTTTTCTGACGACAGAAAATAATTGTATTAGTCACATAAAGCTGGAATAGCGCTTCAAACTTTTCCACTTAATTGTTTATGAATTTCACCTCAGTATACCTCAAACGGCCCTAGGTCACCTTGAAATTACATTTTGGTGTCTGAAATGCTTTTATCCCACAGATACATCGAATGAAATAAACATAGTAAGAAGCACATTGTGAGGAAAAGTATCGTTGTTGTTGGCTACTGGTACAGCAATGTTGAACAGCGACCTGACCTGACCTGATCCGTGTGGGGAACAGGCATTCTTGGAATGGACTCCCCATAGTCTTAACACCGTTTTCCGTGCCCTCAATATCCATTTCGACAAGTTAACATATGTTTAAACTGCATCTATCGGAACAACTGTCTTGACATTCCGTGACCTCTGGTGACCCCATATTTGACCTAAGGTCAAAACTTTTGTGTGCATTCCTTATGACATGACTATACCTTCAACAAGTTATCTTTATTCTTCTGATACGGCGTATGGAAGTTGCAGATCCCAGGGGAAAGACAACTCTCCCCCCCCCCCTCGGCCGGGAGCGGTTGTCTCAGACCCCGGCCGAGGGAGAGGTAAAGCAGCCGAGGACGCGTCATGGCAAAAGTGGGTTAAGGTCAGCGATGAGGTTGACTGGTGTCTGCGATGCATCAGCCCCTCTACGCTGGCATTAGAAGACAGGGACTAAATTTATGTCTGAGCTTCTCGGAAACTAGAAAAAAACAGTAGCGAACGCGACTAAAAATTCCCAGGTATATTAAAATAGCCAGTAAAGTTTACTCTAGAAGCGCTTTTATCTCATGTTTATGTCAGGGTCTGTTCGTTATTTTATGTTTGCAGTGTTTTTGTAGGTCCCTTGAGACCAAATTCGCAAACGCAAAATGACGAATACGTACATAACGACGCAGTAAACTCACCTTCGCAGGGACATGAACCGACCTTTTTGATGCATCCAATGATAAACATTGCGCTTGGCCCTTGTTTATGTTTGAGCTTTCGTGCATGTCAGATTTGGCACCAGATAAGTTCCTGGGTAAGTGAAAAAGCTATCTCTTCGCTCTGCTGCTGCAAGCGGCCTCCAGTGCATTCCAACACTGGCGTTATGTAACCAGTAAAGCAGCCACAGGCACTTCAGCCAGCTGAGTCCCTGGCCACACAAGGAGGCGGTGCCATCGCCGATCGCTCGGCTGCGGTGCAGCTGCCGGCCTCACACTAACCAGCGCGACGGGCGCCCACGCCCCTCACAAGGAGATAATCCAAATGTGCACCGACAAGAACGATTCAGAGATAACCACCGCCCGGCTTGACGCCCCTCACCGGGGGGAATTCACAATGCAACGAATGCTTCGGCAGGAGCAGCCCGGTAGCAGAACTATGTGTATCATGGCGATTAAGGCTACTGGGTTTGGATGGGGTATTAAGCAGCATAACGAATAGCAGCACCAGTGTCAGCCTTGGTCTGCGGAATGGTCTAGGTCTTGGTCTGTCAGCCTTGGTCTAGGTCTTGGTCTGCGGAGTGGCAGGCGGCAGCGCGGCAAACTTAAGCAGATGGTACACATCGTTTCACATGCAGCGTGCCCGACAAGTTGGCAACGGCAGCGCCCCTGCGCTGTCGCCAGGTTGGGATAGGCTAAGAATTAGCGGCTTCGCCAGAAAGTGACGTCAAGGGGTATCTGGTACTCCTGACGCGTCCAGAACTGGCTGTAATTAAAGGGTATCCCTGAAGGGCGTGGGGTTCATCTTGAAGGCAAATCATCTAAAGAATGACACTTTTACCGGCGCCAGAAAGATTGGTTGGAATTGGTTGACTGGAAGCGATGAGATGTCAGCTGCAGTCAAGGGGCGTGCAAGACGAAGGGGGCAGGGGCTCCAACTCCCCCTCAAAGTCAACATAAGTCCCCAAGTGACAGCGGGCCTCTAGGTGTACCATGGAAGAAGGTGTCCCAACACTACTGTAACATTCCAGCCTGAGGAGTACGCTAGCCCCGGTAGGTGCCTGAAGTCAGCCATTGCTGGGAAAGGTTCTCTACTGAACCGGCATTTATTGAACATAGACTTGAGAGAAATCTATGATGTAAAAGAGTGATACGTTTCGCACTGTACTGACTTTCCTTCACTTGTTCATCGTGCACTCATTCTATTGTCCTTGACTTTAAAAGAGTATCCCACTACTCTGTACTTTTCACTTGTTGCTAGGTCAGACATATACGATTTTTCAGTATTACTAGTTTTCTGGAAATCCTTATGAATAGCCCGACTTTTATGTGAAACAGTCGTTCCTGCAGGAGAAATCTTGTTTGACTACATGCTTATCACTATGGAAGTAATGCACTTTATTTACTTAGCTTTTTCCAACGCGTTTGTTGGTAATGTTTGCTGCACTAATGTGCAAAAGCGTTTGTGTAATAAGTGTTACGAAAGGTTCGGCACAAAAAGGCACAAAGGTCAAAAGGCACTTTGTTTAGACAAAAAGATTACGAGCATGAAACTATATCCCGCGAATTCAGCGATACGTTATACTGTGGTCTTAATTTCTCCACTGTGGCGCTTAAAACAGTGGCTCTTTTCGAGGTGCACTTTGGCTTTGGGAACGGAATATCGCGTGGTCCATAGTGACGCACTGGTTCAAACATCAATCTTTGTGCTTCTCGGTAACAGACCTTTGCCGCTCGCTGGGCGAAACGCAAACATTCTCCTATTCGTACCAGTAGAGATGTGCACAGTGGTTGTCATGACGACGTTGATCGCGACTGCAGG